AGAAGTATATCCCTGCTTCATGCCTGTCTGCTATGCAACGAAATGTGTGACATGACTATAAATTACATCGTCCGAGAATCAAAGATCAATAATCACTGAAAATATACGAACCCAAGAATGACAATATTAAATTTCGTAATTCAGCAAACAGTAAATTCTAACCTTCTCAGAGCTGTCGCATTATTCATAGCATTTTAGTTAATAATTAACTGTACATCACCATTACCTGCGTTACCTATTCATCCTACAACACCGACTGGAAGATGGAATCGAGATTTCTGCAGGAAATTATACCACTAATCTGCAGCATTACTATGCAATAAATATCCCTGTAACTCAAACAAAATCAATTTGCCGTTTCGACCGAAGGTCAGTTTAAGACTAGTTTCCTTTGCTGCATATATTTCAAAGTACAGATATCATATTCCTAACTAATATAAGTCAAGGTTGTCACTAGTTTAAGAATAATTTTAAAACTTTAGACCAGGTTAGGAAATCAAGCGGCATTTATATGTATGCACAGGGACAACCTCATATAGAACAGAATAAAATAGAATTTATTCACATTCCACAGATCCTTGATAGGCCTAAGGCAAGCATGTAGAAAATGTTACAGCACGAATACAGTACTTATTTATAATACAAATATAAATTACGTAGTTATAATTTACAGTTAACTACAGTGTTACCGCAAAAAATATTACATATCTCGTTTACATAAGAAAAACGCTTTTTTTACTTCTGCGACAACTGCAAAGACGTATGATATGGATTTGTTCTAATTTCATACTAAACATTTCCCTCGTGCGTAAATGCTTAGAATGTCATGTACGAAGATCCACTTAGTTTAATCAGAATATAAAAAAAAAAGGGACTGAGATACACAGATGCTCAATTGTGCATTTACATTAATTAAATGGAATACAACTTGCATATGGCAATATTAAATTACTTGAAAAATCACAGCAGTACTTGTGCATGTCATACGTGAAATTCAATCAAATTTGTCAGAAGATAAAAATGTACGTAGTCTCATTTAGGCCCATAAATGTCGCAATGAAGAAATATATAAAGTACAATCAATATCTGTTCAGAAGACTCAATGCAAACAGGTGCAAGAACTATTATGCCCTTAAGTAAATGCCTCTTTAAAGAGTCAAAACTAAACCCAAAATAAAATTTCTTTATAAAATTTAGCTCAAGTCTACTAAATTGCATTTGATCAAAATTAGCCTGGTGGTTCCTACCCCATTCCGATCTGACGGACATAACCTACACAAGATATCTTTCTATGAAGTAGCAACCACTGACAGGCATTCTATGATCAAAAAGCAAACTTTTCAGAGCAGAATAAAAGCTTTCTTCAAATTTAAATGAGGCAATAGATTGGTTATCTGGTGCCAAGAGAAATGTGCCAATTGAAAGCACTAAAAACTGCAAAATAAATTGGACTCTAGGGCTTCAATACAAACCAAGGTTAGTTGAAGACATTTTTTAAACAAAATTTCTGTATAAGATGGAAAACAAGAATGCACAAAGGATTTCTGATGTATACAAATAAAAAATATTGGTATCTGACAATTTCTGAAACTGTACTTTGGGACTGTAATACATACAAGGATGGTATCATACTTCTATTACGTTTTCTTGCTATTGCCCATCACATTTTTGTGTAGATTTCTAGATGGGGACATAACTTATCAGTCTTTTGGTCCTTAGTATTAATTTGATTCAAACAATTTCTTTATTAAGAGCATAGAAACCAATGCATATTTTGATATGGCATATGTATGTATTGTAATAGTTCTATCATTCTAGTTCCATTTATTTAAGTCTTAATGTTATATTTCATCTTGTAAGTTTGCAAAGATGTTTTGGTCTCAATGGGAGATGTGCTGTGACCCAATGGTTTATTGGAGAATGCCACTTTTAAAAGAGAGTGTTTTAGAAAATCCATTTCCTCTTTATTGTTAACTGTGAAAATAAGACAGATGTCTGCGTGACTAAGTAGCACCAGTGCCAGTCTTGAAAAGTGTTTGAATATAATAAATAGTACAAATTCCTGATGGCTATGTACACAGGATGCAAACATTTGAAATTTAAAAAGATGAAACTTAGGTATCTCAGTTCAAGGACCACCTTCCTCATCAATAATTGGGTGGGCACTAGCCCCAGAGTACTGAAGGGTAAAATTGACCAGTGGGGCCATAGGGATGTGTGAACCTTAGTAGGGGCCACTCTCACTGAGTCAGTAGGCAGTCAGCAAAGAATAAGGTATACTAATTTGATTACAGCAGGATGTATTAAAAAGAAAACAGACCAGCACCCTCTGATTTAAACAAGGTGTTCACTTACTTTGTGTCAAGTGTGTGCAGGTCAACCCTCTGATCCTTCGTGAGGTCCTTCTAACCAGTGCTTCTCATACCTGTAATATGCTCTCATTTAATCTCACCTATATTACTGAAGCAGCCAGGCAAACCCTAAATGAACCAACCATTAGCCACAAAATGGCAATGGCTGAGATTCTGAAGAGGAGCATATGAGCAGAAGAAATATGGCGTCCAGTGGCAAGGAGTAGGTGTAATGTATTACAAAGCTACTTGTTATGTAATATCCTGCATTGCACTTTACTAGTCACAGTGTGTAAAGCAATTTATTTCCAAGTCAATTATGTTATCTGTTAACAATAAATTAAATACAGTCAACATTTTGTTAGCAAAAGAACAAATTGTGGGTACAGCTTATTTTCAACAAAGAAATTATGTGACTAGGTTTTCAATACAAAGACAACACGAGATAGTTACACAAAACACGATTTTAAAACATGGTAAAATTGTTATTTCCATGCATTTTCAGACACAAATTTGATTTTCACTAAAATCATGGAACCAGTCTCTTATTACATATTTATATGTCACTATCATTGGTTGAAACAATTTTTATAGGAAACTACCTTATGTACATAAACAATACCAAATTATATGTAATCTCAGTTTACTATAGATACCGCAGTACAACAGCTGGTAGCCATAATGAGCCATCTTAACAATAAATACTATTCACTGCTGTGCCACTCATAATCGGGAAAAAACAAGCTCCCAACGGACAGCACTAGCACCATGTAATATCACTAATCAAAATATTTTACTGTGACAGACATGGTAATTTGATTCAACAACTATTTACATTTAAGTTTATACTACATTTCACAGTACTCTACTATGGCATGTGGAAGGGGAAGAGAGAAACCAATGGTTTTACTTCTGCCTTATGCATCAAATTAATGAGTCAAACAAGAGTCCAAATCCAATGTGCAGCACCGTAAAAAAGAAAACGATGCCACTTTCTACTGCCTGAGATTCATACGCATCCTAGTATAATTGTACCTGCCAAAAGGTTGCATTCAATTGAGATATATTGTCTGTTGAGAACCTAAGCAACTAAATATAATGAATTATTAACATTTTTCCAGTGCTGTATGAATGTGTAATACTGCTATGCATTAAAATAACCAGATAATCATATACTACAATGAACTTCAATTTCTTTATACAGCCAGTTTACTTGTACACTATCTAGTCATGCTCTCAGCATTGTGGTCTAAAATATGCTGAGAAATTAATAACTTAAGAGATATTCATCCTGTTTCTCTTTTCAACAATTTCATCTCCTCCACATAGCCATACCAAAATTTCAAGCACTGCATGTCATCTAATTGCTGCATAAACAGCAGTCTAACCACTCTGCACTTTACGGCATATTTCATCTGTGAACTCGGAGCATTTTGCAGATCCTCCTAGATCCCCTGTACGATACTTTGGTTCTTTGATGGTGTTAAAACAAGCTTGCTGAATTCGCTCTGCATGCTCATTTAGATCCATATACCTCAGCATCATAACACCAGATAAAAGGAGTGCAGTTGGGTTAGCTTTATCTTCGCCAGCTATATCAGGAGCTGTGCCATGAACCTGAACAAAACGATACCAGTTAAAGGAAGGCCAAGCCACATACTAATAAACATTTTTTATTATCTAGAATAACAAATTAAATGTAACTGAATTATCCTTATTTCAATACTGTCAATTGTTTCTTCTTCCACTGTCAGAGCAAGAAGTCCACAACATCAAGTTTCAGGTGGAAGTGCCTTATATGAAATACTATTTTTTACACATCAAATCAACATAATAAAACTTCACCAGTAAGATCTTTACGAGCCCAAGTACAAGCTGCAAGTGAAACAGTGTGCTAACAAAATGCAGTCTGGGGCCACATGTTATAAATGTGAAGACACCCAGGTGAGGCATTACCAAAAAAGTTTCACTCTAACACAAAAAAGAACTTACTGATTCAAATAGAGCTCCATTGAGACCAATATTGCCACTTGGTGTTAAGCCTAGTCCACCAACTAGACCAGCACACATATCTGACAAAATGTCTCCGTACAGATTTGGCATGACTAGTACATCATACTGTGTGGGATCCTGTACCATATTCAGACACACTGTGTCCAAATATTTCTCTTCAAATTTCACATCTGGAAACTTCTCAGCCGCTTCACGGCAACAATGAAGAAATAGGCCATCAGACATTCTCCTGCAGATGATAAAAATTATGGTGGGCTGCATGTAGAAATATTACCCAATTACAATGGTTATTATAATTTTGAACATGACAAATTGTGTAGTTTCATTTGTATGACATATATTTTAAATCTGCTTCTACAGGTTAAAGTGTAACACAATGTACAACAGATATTAAGATCGAACAGACGAAAGAGGTCGAATGTTTACAAGGGAAATGACATTTTTAAGGATATCAAGGGAATGACATAAGCAGGATAAGAGGACTTTGAAATGAATGTGTAGTCCTATGTCATATATGCTCAGTTAATTCAGATAAATTTTAGACAAAAATAGAGGATTACATAATTGCTTACCAAAAAACACAGTTAGTGATAAGGACTAAATATTTTTATGGTGAACATAAAAATTAGTACAAAATAACAGATAACATTTTTCTACTGTGCCATAACTCAGGAGGTTAGATGCTGGCTTCTCAATGCCAAGATCTTAATTAATTTTGTAATCATGGACGAACAGATATTAGTTAAAGATTTGTGAAATAAATTAAATTTATAGTTTTCACATAAAAATAACACAAACTACTGTCATTTACAATAACATACTCTGTTGTTCCAGTCTTAAAATGATGCTAATACAGAAAAATCTTCCAAAGATGTTTCCCAATTGAAGCAATGACAGCTACATAAATATTTTTATTCCTGTAAATCTAAAATAAAAATAAAAACACTCAGCTGTTGAGTCATGTTCAAAAATGTAGTGATAAACTTATGAAACTAAACACAGGCCAACATTAGATATAATACAGACACTATAAATTACAGCATGTTTAAACAAGTTAATATTTTAAAAATGTAAGTTTATATTTCTAATTAAGCTTAATGGTCTTTATTTTTCACTTCACAACCAAAACGCAAAACATTATACATACATACATATATAAAGCTTTAATGCATGTTTCAGACTGAAATAATAAATTTTATTCTTACATACTTACATGATATTGGCTTTATGGACAGCTGTAACTTTGTGGCGGCCATTCTCCTTTGTGTACCTGAATGCAAACTCTGCCACTCTTCTAGATGCCTCTTCAGTGATAAGCTTTATACTCTGCACCACTCCATCCACAATTTCATGTTCGATACCAGAGTATTCACCCTCAGTGTTCTCACGGATAGTCACAACATCTACATTGTCATAAAGAGTCTCATACCCTTCCAATGATCGACAGGGTCGCACATTTGCATACAGATTGAATTCTCTGCAGAAGAAATCAATATGATTTAAAGTTAACTATAATTTATATATTCTGTTTTATATCTCCAACAGTTACTAAATGATGATATGCTTGTAAAAGTGATTAAAAATTTCATAAAATGCTGATATGCTCTGATGATAGAGCCAGCACATCCTTTTTACAGTTATGGTGCAATCAGTGATGAATGGCGAAAATATTGTAGTGAACTGTTAAGAATGGAGAAGGAAGCAGTTATATTATAGTCCCTTAAATTATGTAAGTTGCATGGGATTACTGAAAAAAAATACCGACTGAGATGAGAACAACAATTGGGCCAGAAGTATTATTTAATTTGAAAAATTATCAAAACTGCCATCCAAGCAACAATGGCATCATGTAATAATGTTATACAATGTACTTACCAGTTAAGAATAATTTACAACAGAATATAATTTTTTTATCTTACAAGTGCTTGTGCCTCTGAAAAAATTCATTTTTGCAGATCATAACATTATCTCTGGGCTGATGTTCATAAGATATTTCTCAGAAAATTAAGAACACTTACTTTCTTAATGCCAAATTCAATGAACGATGGCCTTTACCAACTGGAGTCATAAGAGGACCCTTCAATCCAACTTTGTTTTTGTTTACTGAATCAATTGCAGCCTGAGGGATTCCAAACCTGCCATCAGGACCTCGTACAGGAGTTACATCCACCGACTCCCATTCAATAGGCACCTGTATCACAAAACATACAAAATGGGTATCATGAATACTGGACAACCCACTGCTAGAAGTCTGCATCTGATTATTTAATATACTCAGTAGAGTAATAGCAAACACTACTCTGTGACCTGACAATATCATAAAAGAAAACATTATTCCAGTGCAAAATATTCGAAGTCTATGTTTTACTGTAGTATTGTGTGTCTGGGTACAGTAGGAGGGGGATAACTTGACTCACAATTCATTTGATTTAATTGCATAAACAGCCATATAATAATAACAATTTTCTGTAATTATTTATATTTGTAGAAACATACAGACTTCAATACACACTAGTATGCATGGTGATTTACACATAAACACAGAAAAAATTAAGTATGTTCATGTTTTGATACCAGAATGCAGGGAAACATTGTAACAAATAAATTAAAAAATCCTTCCTAATAAACTAACTAACTAGGTGGCTCAGGGAACCTTTAGTATCATCACCGAATTAATCAAAGCCCTCCACCGGTCCCTGTCCTGGGCCAGCAAAATCCAATCGCCTTCAACTCCTATTTCCCAAATATCCCGCTTGATATTATCCTCTTATCTATGTACAGTCTCTCCTTCCTAATACCTGCAAAGTTAAAATATTTGGGAACAATAGTAATAAATCCAAATGATGAGGACTGGAAAGAAAATAGTGGCAATATCAGTGTTATGTGAATAATATTTTACTGATATTAGTAATAAATCCAAATGATGAGGACTGAAAAGAAAATAGTGGCAATATCAGTGCTATGTGAATAATATTTTACTGATAATCCCAAGGAATAACAATATCCAATTTAGATTCCAAACAAGTATTTAACAAGTTTTCATCATACCCCTGGAAGGTGACATGGCAGACAGACTTGTCTGATTTCTACAAGACCACCCTACCACCTGCTGTTTTCTTCCTTCAAAGAGGTTTCTTCGTCTTCTGGAAGAGATTAGTCAAAAGAACAAGTTCACAGCAGGCACAAGCACAGACATTTCTGAAAAGTGTGGAAGTTGTATCCTTACAATTTGTAACACAGTAAAGGTAGCTTGATTTGTGACTAATCTGGTGTATACAGAAATGGTCTGTGATTAAAGATCCCAAAATTATATGAACATTCTGCTGGAAACTATAATAAATCAACAAAAAAGTCTGGGAAGAACTTACAATGACTACTTTCCTTCAAGTGTTTCAATGTATATGGTGAGGTAAGCAGGAACTACAGTAAGAGGTGATTTAAACACTGTACAACGTGGCTGTACCAGCCAGACTTTAACTCTACAATTAGCAGTTTGGCAGTATATGTGACATTAAGTTGTCACAGGCAGCTAGACTGTGAATACAGACTGCAAAGGTTTGTGTTTATACAATTTAGTGATTTATGCCAATGTGTAATTTCTACTAGAAAAGATTTATACTACATTAAATTTGACACATAAACCTCCATTTTACATATGTTTGTAATTTTTGACGTAAATACGCCTATATGGAAGGGTCAGTGTCATTCCGCAAAAAAGTGTAACGAAAAAGTGACAGGAAAATGTGTAAGATGGTTACCTAGGAAATATCTACAATTTGTAAATATGGACTGACAACAATGGTCAGCTTGTATGCATTGTTGTTACCTAGAAAACGTCACCTGTTTACTCTGCATTGTTGTGTTACATTACTGCCGTCAACAATCCGCTTTCGTTATTGCGGAAAGAGCTGAGCTGTGAATCGCTTGTAGAAGAAGTGTGTCGTAAACAAGAAAATTTTGTGCTGGTAAAAACGTTTTAGAATATCACAAGTACTTATCTTATATAAGAATTATTAAGAAATCTATTGTTGCATTAATTTGTTGCGTCATACTATGTACAAGATGGATGACACTGAAGCTAAAAGACTCCATAACGTAGAATATATGTGACAGTAAAGAAAACGTAAAAAAATAGAAGTATTAAATAAAGAACTCCAGAGTGTATGGTCAATGGTGAAAATTTTTTAATTGTAACCACAAACCTATTGATGATTGTAAGAGGCTTATTTTGAGTCATTTGAGAAATTATACAAAGATGTTTTCAGTTATGGACACAGAAAATCCTAATACAATGCCGATAATATTGACAGGATATTTTAATATTGTTTTAAAGAAGGAGGAAAATCAAAGCTTTCTCACATTTATGGAGAAAACTTTTGGCTTAATGTTGATGTCAAATCCTCAATTTAGTACTACTAGATCAAAATCTTGTATAGATATGGTGTTTGCACGATATGTTGATACTCTAAAATGTACAAATTTTATAACATATTTCACCTACCACAGACCCATCTTAAGCATAACTAATTCAAGGTAGGCAGTACTGTCTTACTCAAACTTTAATCAATTGTAAAGCGGGTATAAAGAAAATATTTAGAATAAAGCCACTATATAAACTCCTTACTGTATAGATGTATTTACGTCAAATTCTCCGGAACCGTGGTTCCACTGTCACTTTTTGTGTATGTAAGTGGTTCACACAGAATTTCTCCGAGTTTCATATTTCCTTCATATCTACCACATCAAAATGTGTAGCTCCTACATTGTGTTGCACACCTCATTCTGGCACTGCATTTTAATTATCTTAGTTAACACTTATATACCAAAGCAACAGTGGTATTAAATAAATAAAAATAATGGACAAACAAGTGAAGCATTCCTATGCTGAACAAGACCTGATTTGAGAAAAAAGTAAACTACCTCTTCACTGTATGCTACATTCACATCCCACCCAGATTGAAATTATAAGGAATTAAGAGTTAGCAAATTTTAATCATGCCATCAACCAAGCGAACATAACCTTAAAGTTAATAAAAGTAGACTTCTAAGACAAGTTATATAACCAATAGATGTATTACCAGAAGTAATACGACCTACAACCTGAAACTAAAATTACATTTAACCATCTTCCTTACATTAGCAGCAGCAAAGATTTTCTGAACAGCAGCAGAAATTTCTGGTCCAATACCATCACCAGGAATGATCGTTACTTTCCGTACTTCGCTGCTATAAAAACGAGCCAATGGAGCACCATTTTGTACCTACGAAAGGAAAGGAATGTAGACTATTATAAGGACAAAGCATTTAACCTTAATTAACAAATGTAAATTTTGTGAAACTCCCGGTCTTGAAGAGCGATGAAGGAAATACTTGGGTTCATATCTAAATCGAAATAAATTTCAATGGTATTTATTTCGGGGCCACGCTTTCATAATTTTTGTAATTCCATGCAGTTCTTAACTACAGAAGAAAATAAAAATAAACTGAATGTAATCCGAGCCTCAATGCGACCATAGGACTAAAGGAAAATACCGATAACTTATGACATAACGGTATATAAAAACAATGATTCCACATTTATATTTTTTTATACTTTTTCGAAACAAAAGATATTAGAATGAATGTTCTAAACTACAAAGTTGCAAACTTAAATAAGAAGGAACTTACAACTCTCCTCATAAACTGTGCAGCCATCTTGACGTGTAGAGGCAGCTTCCTTCGAAAAAATTTGGCACCACCTATTGATGAGTTGCAAAAGTACTTTCCGTTAGTTCTACGAAGATGGTACTCTAAGTAAACGTTAGATCGCGCTGCCAATGCGCTGTTCGGAACGAAATGCGCTATCAAAAGCCCATCACGTGTCACAGCCCTTTTTCATTCGTCATTGCATTAAATTCTTGATTTTGCTATTTTATGAAAAAATGAGGTGTCAAAATGTTTCTGGCATGTCCTTTTGTGCCTTGTAATGTTCATGTCATAATTTTATTTGAAGCGGATTCGAAATGTACACAAGGTACTTCATTGCATAAAACCTAAATTTAGCTTTCGGTTTGATGGCAATTCTTATGAATGTTATAAAATCCTCTCGGGCGATCAGTCCTTTCAATGTTAACTCAAAAACCAACGTTTCGCAGACTAGCTCTGTCTCCAACAGCTGATCGCTGGACAGGATCCTATATCATTCATGCTCCGTAGAAGTTCTAAATCTTACATAACCAATAAATTATCCAAGTTACACGTATAAAATTTGATACGCAGATCGATCATAAACATATCTACAAATACAGTGGGAGAAAAGCAGTAAGTGGATTGAGGAAAATGGAGGCTGAGAATCGGAAGAAGCCAAAGACGTTAACAAACTGATACAAGTCTTACATGATACATAGTCGTTCAACTGGACAAGAAGTTCCATCCATTTTGTTCCACTCAAATTTCATTGCCATGTACAGAAGAACTATATCCTGAACCTTGTCTAACTACTAGCGTTCCCAGCCTGGGAACGTAAATTGTGTAGTCAGTCCTACGAACATTCCTGGTTGGATCTCAAAACTTGCAACATTGTAAGTAGACTTGGCTATGTCTTTTGGCCTATTTAAGGGAGCTGCAAATATTGAAACACTTTCTCTAGTGTTTTGGCAAGGTCAGCCTGAGCTGTCAACCCGGAAACTATAACCATAAACAGCAATAAACATTGTTATTGTCAAGTGCGTTTCAGCTTCGTTTTCAGGCCCCTAATCAAAGCTTCTCACATTCCTCGGCATGATGGGTGAGAATTATGTGAATCCACTGAAGTAGGGGAGACAAATTTTTCTGTGTGGTCATTAGTTCACAACCATGGCTTCTACCATGTCAAATGAGCTTCCAAATAAGAAAGTAAAGTTAATTCTAAGGCCTATTTAGGCATTTAAGATATTAACTGCATTTTTAAAGAACTCTATGTATTCTCTGTTATATTCGAATAAATATGGCTTTTATTTTGTCAATTTATCATGTTTCCTTTAGATAATATTAAAGTTTTCCGTAGAGCGTGCACAAAATTTTAAAAACCTGCAAGGAAACTCCGTAGGGCTACCACCACTATGCCATTTAAATCCCCGTCGTTTAAAGGCTAATCATCAAGAAGGATTCCAGTCCATGGAAAGAAATAAAACATTCCGTAAAATAAGTAAAATTAATATTTTCATTTACATTATGTATTATTTCAGAACTCTGACGTGGGCATATTCTTGCACCACGTTCCCCTGTAATAATACGGCATATACAATTGTATTCGGCATCCTTATTCAGCGGCAATGCGGACAAAACGAAGCAGTAAGTCAGTGCTTCTGCTTGGTATGAAGGACCATCGGACTAACGCGCGTATAGGACATATCGGTGGTAAAGCTTGTCATGAATCCATAAACAAATTCTTATAATTTCTGTTAGCGAGCGTTAAAACGACGATAAAACCACCAATGAGACAAAATTTTCGGCCAGACCCTTGATGATCAATTTGAATAAGTTTATTATTGCAGTGAGTATCAGATAACAAATCAATATTTCCACGCAGAAATATCCCGCAGAGAACGGTGTGTATCCATAGCGCTGGCTTAACACCATGTAACTGGAGCATCCTTGTTAAACAGCCACCAGAGGGCAAATGTGTGTCCATTGTTCAGATCTTTCAAAGACTTGACAAGAACACAATTACTCCATGTTATGTTGAGCGATTGGCCTACCTAGATTTTCAGAGCATATTTTACTAAAGTTGCAGAGTTATTGGGTGTTAAACGAGGTGGTACACATAGTTACCACTGCCACATACAATTTTAAGTTGCGTATAGAATGTTTGATTCCATCACTAAATGAACTAGCAGAGTGATTCACGTGTATCCCTGTCACCGATAACTCCCAATTACGATTAATGGCATGCGCTATCGATTTTTGAATTTTTAAAGCTGGTTTTGAATTGTTAATAAACTTCATTTGGTATGTCGAGGGTGTGTAGGAACTATTTGCAGTGCCTGAGGCAGCTTCACTAAGAAGCCACATGATGTGGGAAATAGCTTCTAGCTTTCTTGTTTACTTGTTGAGCAGACATAAGGCTGTCTCCTCTTTGCATCGTGGAAGATTTACGCTCTCGTTAACGCCTTTAAGATCTCAGTCTGCTGGAACGACTGCTTGGACCCAAATACGAAAGACTCGGGTTAAGGAGTTTGATGTGAAGTAGCATCATGTCTCTTGTTTCGAGGGATTTGGGAACCTATTTTAGAAAAGCCCGCTCTTCGAATTCTGAAGTGAATTAAAATAAACTCAATATACTTCTGCAATATTATAATTTTTAATGGTAGGTTAACAAGGCTACATATTTGAGAATGCTCTGTTACGTATTATATAAAATAAACGTGTACTCTCTACTTATTAAACTCAGAATAAAAATAACGATAAGCTAACCAGTGGATAAGTTAATAATACAGAGAGTTATATGCTGTAATAACGATAAGTAATTTATTTTTAAGCAACGACTCTGAAGTTCTGTGGTTAGAAAGGATCAACCCTACACATCATCGCCTTGTTGGCAGAACATAACACATTGTCTAAATAAAGATAGACCCATTTTTATGTGTGAAATAATAGATTCTAGAAGGTCCATTTTAGTTCAAGGGACGATACAGTGTCGCCTTCATCTCCATGACCAGGATGCCATCTGTCGGCACTCCCGCGGGAGCAGGCGGAACATTCATCTGAAAACAGACCGATAGCATTTCAATAATGTTGCCAAAGGTTATTGAGAACAATAAGGGAAATGACTCCAAAGCCATTAATTTGGTCTTAGACAACAAAAATTATCAGTAATATGAGCAGCGTATAAAACGCAGGATGTTACATGTAAAGTCTTAGTTAATTTCACTCTTACGAAGTGCACAGCGTTCTATGCAATGAGGCTGTGACGACCGAGTCATTGCGATATAACAATATCGTATAGCCTACGGAGGATGACGTATAGGGAAAGCAGGGGCACGTTCCAACAATTTTAGATTTAATTTTTTTTCTCTTGATGCTGTTTTATGATTACACTGAAACTCGTGACGCATGTTAATTACACATTCTTTTGTGAGCTTGTAAAAATAATATTAAATTTGCAATATGATTAAAGTATAAATATGAGTTAATTGCTGCAAACTGGCCCGCTCTTGGGGCATGTTGCAACTCAATCTGAGTAATAACGGCACTCTATGCATACTTAATGAGTGTCCTGAACAAGCAACATGTGACCACAGTTCACATTTCATAAACTGTACCAAATGGTCTCCAGTCGGCGTTTGGCTCAAACCAAACGCCAAGAGATGTCGCGGCCTTCCTTTGACGAGCTTACAGAAATTCCTTTTCTTGGTTCTCATGATCGTTCTTTTCAGCACTGTCACTTTCTTGTTCTTCTTTTCGTCTTTTAAGACTCATTTTTCAGGTGTCAGTCAACACAACGTCTTTTTTCACTCTGTTCTTTGCCGGTTAGAGACATTTCGCGGCCCAGCCTTTGAAAATGGACGCATATCTTCGGTAGTCTGGTAAAAAATTTACCGAAGTTTCAGAGGTACTTACTACCTCCATCATCAGGGCTTATTGCAGCAAGGACCTCTGAAACGTCGGTAAATGTTTACCAGACTACACGGCGCAACAACCCTGAGGACAGCCATCTTCAGACTCACCGCCGTGAAGACCTCAAATCTTAATAAATTACTGTGATTGTATATTCATTGTACAGAATGACACATTTATAACAGACTTTACTGTAATAACAGATGTTTGAATTCAAGAAGTGGAATTTTTCTTTTTGTAGCTTATGTGGACGCATACCTCCAAAAGAAAGGCAGGTGATATTAGTTATGTAAATGTAAGTATAAAGGTTGTAAATAGAGAAAAGAATAATACATAATTCATTAAATGGTGCACCATATATAGGTCCTTGGCCTTATTCGCTGTCATCTCAGGAATGTACTGTACCATTGGTGTAAAGCCATTATATTCATTGAATGGAGGGCAATACGCACACATGAATAATGTATACGTTTTAGTGGAAGTGTTAATTAACGCGATGAAACGCCAAACATTTATGTTCTAGAGAATATGATAGATCTGATTTGTCGTTGCCGTCACTTAATAGAGATGTCATTCCGATCGTCATTTATCATTTCCTTTTTGTAAGTAAAAATTACAAAATGCATTTTCGATGTGATCTGAATGATCGCATTTATTGAGAAGATTGTAAAATTTACTTTCCAGCAGCCGGTACACATCACTTATTTATCTTCATTTAAAACGTGATAAATAGAACGAGACGTATATGATACGTATTTGGACACAGTGCTAAATCCACACAACTTATAAGATGAGATTTTGAAAAGAAAGGGTTCTTTTGCCCGAAGAATAAAAACGACCTGCATACACCTGTTTGTATCAACACATAGATGAAGTTATGTGAAAAAACTATCTTAAAGGCATTCTGATTAAACAGATTAAGATATCTTTGATATAAAATATGAAATATATATTAAACGATAAAATAGTTCAAAGCATTCTGTTTAAAAAGATTAAAATAAATGCTAACCAAAATTTTTTAAAATAATTTTATCAGATAACGCATATTATATATTTTATGCTTAATATAATCTATTTTAACAAAACGTCTTGAAGATAACTGTATCACATAATTTATATGACCAGAATATTTATAAGATAACTATTACATACCTTGACATCAAGCTTTAGACAATAACTATTTTATATAATTCTAGCTTCAGACAAAAGAATTTTTAGAACCTGAATATGGTCACTCTAGACCGAAAAATCTTGCTCAGGTAATCTTATGCTTATTAAAGTACATGTATTGTTGTATGTGGCGAATTATTATTCTTTATACACTGAATAAATACCACAAAAGAAGGCAAAGAATGAACACAGCTAAAGGCACATTTTTTGCCCGTATTTCGATTACGGATATAAATCTTGTAGACACGAACTCGCCGATTGAATGGCAAAAGAAATGAACAGTGTTCAACAGGAGACCTTCCCTTTTTGGTACATTTAACACCTTGACCTTTTGACTCATTATCTTAAATGTTCCAGCATATTAATACCTGTGTGAACTTGTAAAATGTAACAATTCCAGTATCATTCCGTATAGAGCTTAGAGGTTTCTAGTGTGATTTGTCTTTTGAATGCAATAAATTTGCATTAGACTAAACTTCCGAGACCTAGGCGTAGATGGGAGGATAACATAGATCATACAGGAAGTGGACTGGACTAATCTCGTCGAGATTACAGACTGTTGGCGGTCTCTAGTGAACACAGCAATTAACATCTGGGTTCCAGAAAAGCCGAGGATTTTCTTGACTAGTTGAACGACTATTAGTTTTAAAGAACTCTTCTTGACTGAGTCAGTGAAAAGGCTTTGTAAAAATGGAAAATAACAAGCAGATGTCTGTCTTCTGGGGTGTAGCACCGTGTAGTTGCTAGAAGATGACGGACGTGCCAATTTGGCACAGTCATCGCCCTGATGACGGAGGCAGTATGACCTCTGAAACGTTGGTAAACACAGCCCAGAAGACGGAAATCTTTATTGAGATCATATTTTCGGTGTACACACATTTAAATGTCATACTGACTTACCAACACTTGGTAGCCATGGTCGTTTCTAAGGGTGAAAGTCCCAACTTGACGGTCACCATATGGTTGAGCCGACATCACTGGTGTCCCTTGTTGATCCAGGATTACTTCCGCTTGCTGTGGCTCCTTCCTCATCACAACAGGCTGAGTTAACTGTCTGTAGGATCCTTTAGGACCGTTCTCTAAACGAAACACATTTTGTTGATTTCTTAATGGTAACGAATACTTCATATCTGTCCCACGGTAAGGAATTCGACCATTCCTTGGATAACGCCATACGAAATCGGATAGTGGATATTTTTCAGGATTTATGCCAGAAACAAAACCGTAAGGTTTGAATGGTTGATAAAGAGATTCACGAAACTGGTTTGAAATATCTTTGAAATCTTTTGGGATGTTTGGAAAATCACCGACAACATCTAATGGTTGCTGATATGGTCCCTGGTATGGGTAGGTGGTTTGTTGTAGATGATCCAAATTTGAAAACCTGTCCGCGGGATTTTCTATGTAAGACTGCAATGGAGTAAATCCAGAGTAGTCTCCTATACCAAGTGTTCTTAAAGAGCTTATTTGATACGGATAGGGAAGCCCATTTAAATCAGACAAACGTTCAAAATAATTTGGTACCGCAATGGTCGTGGGGTAAAAACCAGAACCAGTGTTGGTTGTAAAAGGTTGTTGATGAGGACTGAACAAGTTGGGATGTTGACTTGGAGGCTCTCCTTTACTGTTCACCAATGGAGGTCCAGCATACCTCTCTGGAAGAGCATTCAGACTTTTTCTTGGCGTATAATAAGACACTCCATTCTTTGGATCTACAAACACCCCGATGTTAAGTTCCTTTGATATAGATGACGGGTTTTCTATCTCATATGGGCCAGGTTCAAGCTGACCGGTGTTAGAAGTCGGCGAATAAGTTCTTGACGGATGATCTTTGGTCAGAAGATCGCTGTCATCGCCATCATCTTTGACTCCAACTGCAAAACCAACATCAAGATCCCTTGAAGACGGTTCTTGAAATATTCTAGTACCTGGAACAGCTGACGGATCGGCGATGTTCCTACGGGATAAAACATAGTTTTGTCCGGCAAGAGAAAATATCTTCTGCAGTAACTGCTTCAGCTGATTTCCATCGAGTCTACTGTCAGTATCTTTGACACATGCAGCAGCTATCAGCAGCAAAATGAACTTAATGACACATCTCATCCTGGGAGCGTCCGTCTGTGGCAGGTGATGCGAGAAAATGAATGTCTGGACAGAAGAAATAACACATATCACATGACACATAAGCCGACATATAAATAAAGGGTGAGTCGTAAAAAAGTAACATACCACTATTAAAAACGAAAACATAGGTTTGTAGGATTGTAGGTGGGTTTGTTGGTTCGTGATCATTTGCTGTGAAGGGATTTTGGACCTTATGGGATAATGTTAATGACTATGTGATCACTGATATATGACATAGTATATGTATGTACTTCTATAAAACGCAGCACAATTTTTATGATCACAGTTTGAGATCATGTTTGATATTGCGCTTAGATCGTATTATTTTATTTAACTGAGCAAAGACAGACAATGACTTTATTTTTTTGTCATAAAAATTGCATAATTTTAATTATTATATGCTGTTTTTGTGGAAACAAAGACTGTCCAATTATCCATGACCTATTGTTTACGTACATGCACTCTTATAGACTGCATCAAAACAGATGTTTATGTGTTTCCGCTTCGAAACTTTCGTACCTAAGCAAAGATTAATAACAATTTCATTTTATTATATGCTGCTTTATTTCACTTCTCAATAAAATGTGTTTTTAATTAAGATTTTCCGGTCATTGTGCGTTCAAAGTTCATCTTCCTACATCCAGTAGTTAGTTACAACCATCGAATCGAAATCAAAATAATGACATCGCGCCGAAACCAAGTTGTTCTAAATTCTTAACAAAAAATTACCTAACAAAATTGCATGCTTATGAAGAATTAAAAATCCTTCAGTGATCCCAGTGTCGCTCTCACCTTGCAATCTCTCGCTGCTGCCATGTTAATATTGAAAATGTTGAAACATGGAGTGCTATCTAGAGGTATGATATTCATATTAAGTGTCATAAAAATGTCATGTGGTTAAAATGTTTACGAAAGATAGACATACAGACAAATGGACTGATCCTTTGTTAGGCATATATTTTCCTATTAAATTAGGTTAGTATAATAAATATAAACAAGAACTCTACCGAATGAAGCGAATAATAAATATCATATTCACAAACTGTGTAGTACCACGATTCTTCAATTATATTGTCAATGATGTGTGAAAAGAAGTTTAACTACACAGTAGTCGAGAAGTCACGCAACACATTTTAAAATATTTATTGAAGTTTTCAATTCAATACAATTAGATTGGTTTCATAAACCCAATATCGCTGTGACTACACAGAAGCCCACGCAGGTCACGTCGTGTTGTAATCTGCTCGCACCAGTCCGTCAAGTTGTCTTTCAACAGCCGGAGTACAAGGATGTCTTTTTCACAAGTGCAACAAGTGTTCTGCCTGGCATCACATTTTTACTTAACTTGCCAGAATGAGTCTAGGGACACATATCCTGATCTTCCTTTGCTAAACAAATCGACAAAATCTCGTCCAGTGAACCGTTCCCGTCAATGAAGAAAATCTTCACTGGGCTGCATAAAACATGAGGAAAAGATTGGATACATTTATTGCTGAAAGCGGCAGACGTTTCCATCACTTAACATAACATCGTTTTTATTTTTTCTTATTTCAATGTTATTTATTTTTTGACAAATAGAATATGTATTAGGAATGGTTTGCATGTGTGTTCGATTACCCTGTACAACTGACTATTTATCTTTCGTGACGTCATAATCATCCTACATAAGCCTATATTAATGGCGCTATGTAACCAGAGA